AAAATAAAATCTAGTAAGTAATTCAAGTATGGTCATATAAAGTCAGGCAATTAAAGACTTGAGTCAAATGATCCAAAAACAAAGACCTGAAAGTAAAGGCTGAAAACTTTGTTTTTTCCTCTTATGTACATGCCTAAACATCAGGACATTACTATAGAAAATAAAGTTATATATGGTTTCCAAAGATGATGAAATTTCAGAAAGTACAAAAGGTGCCAAGACCCATAGTTTGCTTCATCAAACACTTTTCTAGCTCGTTTCAATTCTTCATTCATAGTAGGCAAGTCTTTAACCCTAGCAAATTTCCTTGGGTCCTTTCAAATCAAGACAATATCTTCGACTTGTACCCCACCTTGTCTTCCAAAGGACACTGCCTTGTGAGTCATCTCAGTGATGAACTCTATGACAAGGTCTTCAAGAATATCCACTGACTCAGTATACAGATTTTGGTCATCTCCAAACCCATACATCATACATCGTAATTCTTTGGAAAAAAGTCTCTTTCTTTTACCCTGTCCACCTTCAGCACCTCCTCCAATTTCTTCATTTTCCTCAAAGGTAGGATCCTCTTCCTCATCTGCCATCCCACCACCCAACAAAACTAAAGACTTGATTGGCAATTATTTGTAACAGTACTTAATTATTGTATGTTGTAAGACACTAAAATCAAAAACAGGAATCTCATTTAGACTTCAATTTTTTTGAGATTATCGGCAGCACAATCACTTGTAGAAACTGTGAAAAATAAAAGTATCTTCTAGTCTTTTATTTTATTTTATTTTTTTTGCGGAACCGGGGATTGAACTCAAGCCCTTGAGCTTGCCAGGCAAGCACTTATTCTACTGAGCTAACTCCCTGGCCCCTCCTAGTCCTTTAAAAAAAAAAAAAAAGGATATATAGTAGATTCAGAGCCAGCCTGACCTACATAGTGAGATCCTCTCTTAAAAAAAAAAAACAAAAACAAAAAAAAAAAACCAACTATGAAGCCCCAGCTAGTCTCTAACTTGCAGCTATCTTCCTGCCTCAGCTTCCCAAATTCTGGGGTTACAGGGCTGTGCCACCACACGATTATTATTTCATTTAGTTCTTTCTACTAGATCCACAAGCCATAGGGACATGTACTATAATCTACACATTTCCTATTTCTTCCACAGATGTAAAAAGTAGCCATCCTTAAAGGATTGCACTATTTTTCTTTAATAGCAAATTGCTAATATTTTTTCATTATTTTATACTTACAAGCTGATAAATTGCTTTTATGTTTCATGACAGTAAAAAAGAATGAGATAGAACAGAATTTGAATTCAAACTGATGTGTCCTGGGACATTAGTCATGCCACTTTAGAGTTGAAGGACTTTACATATTTAATTTCTCTTGAGGGCCGGACAAATAGCTCAGCTGATTAAAGTACCTGCAAGCAGGCGCAAGGGCCAGGGGTTTGCTCCTGGGCCTGCCATGCTGGCCCTGCCCCTGTGGTGCACTGAGAAGGCAACTGAGACTCGGTGTGGTGGTGGGCGCCTGAAATCCCAGCTCTTGGGAGGCTGTAAAACAGGCGGATCACTGAGTCCGACCTAGTAGTGAGACCCTGAACACCCTGTAGACTCTTCCCTAAAATACAAAAAATACAGTTGTAAAAAATAACTTCTCTGAGTCCTGCAGCATGGAGATAATTATCCTCCTCATTGGTTTGCTTTAAGGACTGAAGAGAATACTAAGAATATAGTAAGATTATGCCCTTTTCTTCTCACTCTACCTTAGGTCTGTTATAGTGATTAGTAAGAAACATCTTCAGGCTGCAGGAGCCTGTAATCCCAGCACTTGGGAAGCAGAGGCTGGAGGACCAACAAATCAGTTCACAGCCATTCTGGGCTACATGGTGAATTCAAGCCAGCCTGAACTACATAGCAACATTCTGTCTCAAACAACAAAGAAATAACCCCCTCTCCAAAAAAAAAAACCCATAAAAAAACTAACTTATAGTCCTCCTGCCTCTCTCATTACAGGCACATGCCACCCAGTTACATCTTCAGAAAATCATAAAACTCATAATTTCAGGGACTCAGTGGTAGAGCTCTTTTCTGGCATGTACAAAGCCCTGGGTTTGATCCCCAGCAGCACAAAAAGGGTTGTAATTTTGACACAGCTATGAAATTTTACTTTGTACTTTACTTATTAAACTTTCAAAAACATATATCTGGTGAACTTTCCAGCACAGTGTGCAAAGCACTAGTTTAAAACAAATGACATGTAAGTATGACAGTCTCAGAGTTCAGACTGAGAAAAATATATCAAGTTACCAATCATAATCATAGCACAGAATTATGAATAATTTAATTATAACATTGAGAAACAGTTACCATTATTTTAAGCATTTTCTGTCATAAAAGCAATGTACAAAGATTACCCACAGGCTAGGAAGATGGCCATTTCAGGAACTACAGGTTCACAGCAGCTGCAGCAGCTGGAGCACGGAAAGCAAAAGGCATCTATGATAAAATAGATCAGGGCCTGATGAGGATGTAGGTATTTTTTTTTTAAAATGTATTTAGTATAGGAACTATAAGGTTTCACTACACAGATCAGACTCTAGTGATCCTCCTGCTTTCAGCCTCCCAAGCACTGGGAGTACAGATGTGTGCCACCATACCTCAGTGTACCCTAGGGGCAGGGGTAGGGCCAGCACGGCACACCAGGGATTGAACCCTGATTCCTTTGTCTGCCTAAGCAGGCACTTTAGTCCACTGAGCTATCTTGCCAGCCTTAGGGTGTAGGCTTTTTAAGCAGTGTTAATGATTTGAAATCAGCTTCCTCAAAAATTTACTCAAGGCAACTGAATGAGCTTTTACAAATATATCAATCATAACACGAATGAACCTAAGTCATGTAGTTTACTACAGCAAATAAAAGCCACCTGACAAATACCTGTTCTGAAAAAACAACTTTTCACATTTTTCTTCCATCTTCCATTTGTGTTTGTCAATTACCTTATCAAGTGTTATCCCACTTCCTCTCAACCACTTCAGTGGTAAAATCAGTCAGAAGACAAGAATAGACTGCACTTCGCCCCACCCCCACCCCGCCCCCGGGGCATGCTGCCACAGCAATTGAGACCGGTATGGTGCCCATGCCTGAAATCCCAGCTCTTGGGAGGCTGTAAATAGGCGAATCACTACAAGTCCGACTTAGTAGTGAGACCCTGAACGCCCTGTGGACCTTTCCCTAAAATACAAATAAATAAATAAAACACACAGAATTTTTTTTTGAGACAGGTGTCTCCCTATGCAACCCAGGGTGGCCTTGAAGTGAAAGTGATCTTCCTGTCTCAGCCTCCAAACTTCTGGGATTACAGGTGTGCTTCACCATGCCTGACTCCAGAATTTGATTTTAAAAATTGTGCCAGCCATGAGGCATGCCTGTAATCCCAGCATTTGGGAGGCTGAGGCAAGAGAATCCTGAGAGTTAAAGGCCAGCCTGGGCTATAGTGAGACCTCACCTCAACCTCTGCCTCCCAATTGCACAGCAGGGACATGGTGGCTCAAGGCTGAGGTGTGAGCTGGAGGCCAGATTGGGAGGAGGAAACTGGTCCCAAATCATTAACACTGCTTAGAAAGTTACATCTTTATCAGACCCTGATTTACTTTATCACAGATGCCTTTTGCTTTCCGTGCTCCAGCTGCTGCAGCTGCTGTGAACCTGTAGTTCCTGAAATGGCCATCTTCCTAGCCTCTGGGTAACCTATTTCCTTTGCCTGAACTCTTCTCTCCCTTAGGAGCCAAGCTTCACCTGACTCTTTATCTACTGATGAAACTTCTGCTCGGATTACCTTCCTAGAAAAACTTTACCTGATGTCCCCATCTGGCAATGGTAATAAATTCTCTTATTACTCTCTCAGCTTCTAACGTAGCTATTTTAGTTTATTCTATTTTAGCTTCTATCTTAGTTTACTGCCATTTATTTGGATTATTTCATACCTGTTTTGCCCATCAACACTATAGTCTTAAGGCAGTCTGTAAATGTCACCATCATATCCTTAATAATCAGTATATGTACTGACACTAAAGTTTTAAGTAACAGTAATTAGGAAGCTGGATGTAGTGGCACACATCTGTAATCTCAGCACTCCAGATGCTTAGGTAGGAGGACTGCCAAAGGTTCAAGGCCAGCCTGGGTTATTTAGTGCATTCAGGAACAGCCTGAATTACATACAGACCTTGTCTCAAAACAACGAGAATGTGGTAGGGGAAGAAGTTGATGAGGGGACCTGTCTGGGTCCTACCTGCCAAGCATGCTGGATTATGTCTGTAATCCCAACACTTGGGAGGCCTAGGCAGGAGTACTGTTATAAATTCTCAGCCAGCCTGAACTACATAGATCCTGTCTCAAAATAATAATAATAATAATAATAATAATAATGTATTAAGTGATCAATATTGTTATTAAGGAAAATATGCATGTGCTCCAGACCATGGGCTTTGATGGCACTCAGAAGGCTGAAATTCGAGGCCAAGCTGGACTAAACCAAAAGTCACACAGGAGAGTGCCCAGCGAAATGCACAGTAAGTTGTAGCTTCTGCTCCCACTGCATTCGGCCTATCATTACAGTATAGTGTACCTAATCATTCCCTTCTTCCTGCAGGCAAGTCGTATTCATTCTGGAGTCCACCGGTGCCTAGTACTAACTTTAGCATGATCCAAAACCGGTGCATTTAAATAAACACTACTTTCACAAAACATAACAATGAGCTACACGTTACACTACCATGCTGCTCCTTCTAGCGTTAACATCAGTACAGACCAGCAGTTTCCCATCTTAATTTTGCATTATCTCAAGTTACACACAAATGAGCCAACAGGGCAGGGCCGCCAGTCATTCCTGCTCAAAGAATAGCCTCTTTCAGTAAAAAGAGAGTCAGGCAGGCAGAAGCAGGAAAGTAGGCAGGCACACTGCGAATCGCAACCCGTGCCAGCATCATAGAGGGCGAGGCGCGAGACCGAGGAGGAAGCCGCAGGGAACGCCCGGCCCCAGCGGCCGGCTCGGCCCGGGATGTGCGCTCGCGGCGCGCCCTTCAGAAAGAAATGGAAAGGTCTCGATCGCAGCCCGCTCCAAATTTCAGTGCTGCCGAGGGCACCGGAGCCGGGAGCCCGAGCCCGCGATCCCCGGCCCGCCTTATCCACCCGCGAGCCCCAGGCCCGCCCGCACCCCGACGTCGACGCCCCGCGGCCGGAGACGATGACCCCAGGCCTCGCAGACAGTCGCCCGCCCCAGCTGGCCCCCAGGAAACTCACTCCTGGGCGTGGCCTCGCGGCCTCGTCCTCCACACGCTCAGGCCCCGCGGGCACAGTCGTCGCCGTTAGGCGGGAATCCCTTAAGCCCGAGGGCCACCGCCCTGAGACCCTCTCAGGCTACTCAATCGCGCCGCCGAGATCTGGCGTGCCTTCCGCGGTCTCGTAGGGCGCGCGAGCGGGGGCGGGCCGAGGGCGGGGCGCGTGGGGGCGGGGGCGGGGGCGGGGCGCGTGGGGGCGGGGCCGGGAGCCTCGGGGCCGGGAGTGGCGGCTCCGGGCGGCTGCGTTTTGTCCCCTCGGTGTATCTGCTTGAATCGCCGCCCAGGGTCGGGGGAGCCTGGGACCTAAGTGTAGGCTCACCCGAGAACTCGCGAGTCCTTACCGCGTCACGTCTGCAGCCTCCGACGGAATCCTTGGAGAGACCTGCTTCTTGACCGTCGTCTGGAGAGTGACGGTTAAACAGTTACCCCACCCCTCTATGCTCCCGAAAGGTTTATTCAAGACCACCCTTCCCCATAGAAAGTAGATCCCACACATTCCCTTTTTTTTTTTTTTTTTTTTTTTTTTTTTCTCTTTCGTTTTTTATTTATTATTATTATTATTCTGATACTGGGGATTGAATCCAGTGACTTTACACTGAGCTCTCTCTCTCTCTCTCTCTCTCTCTCTTTTTCTTTTTTTTCTTTGTAAATCACTAAATTGCCCAATTTTAAGCCCAGGCGTGGTTGCCTGTAACCCAGCACTCTGGAGGCTGAAGCAGGAGGATCCTTGTGTGTTCCAAACCCACGTGGGCTATAAAGTAAATTCAAGGCCAGCCTGAACTGCATAGTAAAGACTCTGTCTCAAAAAGACAAAGTAAATAAGTAAATAAAGTGTCCAAGTTTGAAACTTGTTGCAGCTTTCCTGCCTCAGCCTTCTGGAGTTTCGGGATTACAGGCCTGTGTCACCACCATCCGCACTTTCTCCACCCTCCTCACCTCCACCCCGCTCAAATTCCCATTTTACCTCAAAAATGATTGGTTTCTCTTGTTCTCACCCTGATCACAGTAACAGCTACAGCTACCCAGACTTGACCTAACTTCCCTTCCGTGCCCCACCCCAAGACCTACCCCCAGTCTGAGGTAAGAAGCAGTGTCTTCTTCCACCACTCCAGAATAGGTTGACTGGGAAAGAAAAAACCTTCTCTGATACACTGTTGAACCCGTTCTTCCTCCTTCCCTTCAACCTGCTCCTCTCTCTCCCCATCTTTACCTATACTCAGAAGAGGAGCCCTTTTAGTCTAACCCTTAAGACGGTTGTAGATCTCAGGGTCAGAGTGTTCCCCAGTGCACCAGTGCCTCCCTCCCGCTGCCCATTAATCACGTTTTGGAATAACCTTCTATTGATTCACTCTACTTAAATCTAGATTTGTTGCCGAAATTGAACCCAAGGCCATGTGTGTGGCAGGCAGGCACTTCACTGTTGAACTAGATGTTCAGCTCCCTTAGGTTTGTTGTTGGTTTTTTTTTTTTTTTTTTTTTTTTAATTTGATAGTTGAACATTGGCCTTGCCTTCCTTACAATGACACAGATAATTTTAAAATTTTGGTTTGCCTAAATCATGATTTTTTACTTGACAATTAGTGTGAGGGCTCAGTTTGAGACAAGGACTTATTGCAGGCCCCTGCCATTGCTTCCCTGGTAAAGGCAACTTGTCTTTTGAACAAATTTCCTGTGTCAAGCTATTTGAAGATCCCATGATAAATTCAGCTCTAAACAGCACTCCAAGCTGGAGCGCAGTATTGCACACCTGAGATGCCAGCATGCTGGGAGGCTGAAGCTGGAAAATGGGAAGTCCAAGCCCAGCCTGGGCAACTTAAGCCTTATCTGAAAATAAAAAATGAAAAGAGCTGGAAATAAAACAGCACGAAGGTCTTGGGTTCAATCACTAACACAGGAAAAAGAACAGTATGAGAAGTTACTTTTATTCCTTTGAGCGTAGAAATTTCCCTAACTTTTTCCTAGGGCTGTTCTGGTTGTTGGCGCTTCAAACATTTGATGAAGAGTTGATTTTTTTCCCTTGTCAAAAATCTGTTAACCAGGGCCGGCGAGACAGCTCATCAGTCTAAAGTGCAAGCAGGTGCAGGGGACCCCAGTTTGATCCCTGGCACCACATGATGTGCCAGTTCTAAAAAAAATCAACCACAGATGTATTCTGATTTGGGTGGGTTTTTTTGTTTTTGTTTTCTTTTTTGTATTTTAAGGAAGTGTCTACAGGGTGTTCAGAGTCTCACTACTAGATTGGACTTGTAGTGATCCACCTATTTACAGCCCCCCCCCAAGTGCTGGGATTACAGACACGTGCCACCATACCCAGTCTCAATTGCCATCACAGTGTGCCCTGGGGCGGGGGCTGGCCGGCAGGACAGGCCCCTGGGGTTGAACCCCAACCCCTGTGCCTGCTGGCTTTAATCCACTGAGCTATTTGGCTGGGTCTTGTATTCTGATTTGATTCCATTAATTATACATCTGTCCTTTTTCCAGTATCATACAGTATTGTTATCAAAATGAGGGTCTTTTTCTTTTCTCTTTTTTTTTTTTTTGTGTGTGTGTGGTACCATGGATCGAGCTCAGGACCTTGCACTTGCCAGGCAGGTGCTTATGCCGCTGAGCTATTTCCCTGGTCTTGAACAAGGGTCTTGCCAAGGTCTTGGTGTCTTGAACAAATTGAGCAGGACACCCAAATGAACAGCAAGATCAAAGATTTATTTGAAACTGAAAGTACACTCCATAGCATAAGAGCAGACCAGTGATAAGAGCCATGGCCCTGAGGAGGCTTGGTGGTGAGGGTTTGGGGCATTAGGGTTTGCACTAGAACTGAGGGGTTGGTATGAGGTGTGACAACTGCCTACCAGTAGCTTGGGTTGGCCTCTTGGTTGGCCAGTTGAGTTTTTGACCTTTTATGGCCTTTGAAGGAACTGTCATGGCATCAAAGTCCATGGGAGTTAAATCTGCAGTCTATGACACAGTAATTAGGGGTGGGGTTGGACAAGAGTTTTAAAAGACTGACTGGTGTGTGTACTGAGACATGTACTGTGTGTAGGATAGGTTACTGGTTGCTTTCTCCCATTGTATTTAGACCTGTGTACTCTGGTCTTGGGCTATGGTTTTACTCAGAGGTAGATCTACCCTAGTAAGCAGGCTCCAGAGTGAACCTTCCCTTCTTGCTTCCCATTTGCTTGGCTGCCTTCTGCTCCATATGATACTCTTTGATTACTGTAGTTTTAGTTGTAGGTTTTGAAATCAGAAAGTGTAACTTTTCCAACGTTGCTCTTCTTTTTAAGTTTGTTTGGCTATTCAAAGTCCCTTGTAATTCTATATGAACTTTAAGATTGGTTTTTCCTTTCTGTAAAACAAAAAAACTACTGGGATTTTGACAGGGATTGAATTGAGTATGTAGATCAATTTCAATATTGGCATCTTAACAATATTAATCTGCAACCATGGATGTCTGCATTTTCTTAGGTCTTAAGATTACCTGCAGTGTTTGGTAATTTACAATGTATAAATCTTATATGTCTTTGGTTAATTTACTCTGAAATATTTTGTTTTTATATGTCCTTGTAAAAAGAATTGTTTTCTTAATTTCCTTTTGGAATTTTTTTTTTACCACTGTATGGAAATACCACTGATTTTTACTTGTTATTGTATTAGCAATTCTACTGAATTCATGTATTAGCTCTAGTAATTTTAAAAACACATTCTGATGGGAGGCTGAGGCAGGAGGATTATTACAAGTTTAAGACCAGCTTGGGCCACAAAGTGAGATCAAAGCCAACTTGAACTGCATAGTGTGACCCTATCTCAAAAAGACAAAATAAATAATAAATAAAAATAAAAATACGTCCTGAAAAGAATACATTCTGTAGGACTTGTCCATATAAGATCATGTGGTCTGTGAATATAGTTTTATTTGTGTCTCTGAATAGGATCCAAACAGGTCCCCAGCGTGGAAATGACAAACCTTGATTCACCCTATCCATGGGACAGGTTGAAGGTTTCCATCACATTAATAGAATTTTCAGGACATATCAATAAGAGGCATAAAAGGATTTATTAGGCAGAATTTAATAATTTTATTTTTTCCAATCAGATTTTACTGATACATTTTAAATACATTTTTTAAATTTTTATTTATTTGAGAGAGAGAGAGAGAGAGAGAGAGAGAGAGAGAGAGAGAGAGGTGTGTGTGTGTGTGTGGCCAGCTCAGCCCACCAGGAGGCGGGGCTGGCTGGCATGTGGTGCTGGGGGATTGAACCGCGGTCCCTGATGCT